CAAGTGAGTTTTTTCTATAGATTTATGGACTGTTACTAAAATACAATAAACCCTATTTTTGTATTGTCATAAACAGTCTTTCTCTACAGGAACTTAAATGTGTTCAAAATGTTAATATTGTATGTGAAATATCACATAGTGTGACTGGAAGTTGTGATCAAAGCAGTGGTTAGGCTATCTTCAAGCACAAACTGAATAATGCACTTTTCTACTTGTATTACAAGTGTCATTTTGTTTTATTCATACATTTGCAGACAATTGAACAGAAAAAAATGGCCTAAACTAGCTTTTTTTAAATTGTATTTTGGAATGTAAATCATATTCCTTTCTACGTTATTTTGGGTCAAAGCTACAAAGAGCCACTGGAGAGGGACTAAAGAGCCACATGTGGCCCCAGAGCTGCAGGTTGCAGACTCTGGCAACAAGTGAATTGAAAAGCACAGAGTGAGTGAATCATCAGTAGAAATGTACAGTAAATTAACAAATGGATAATGTCTGGGCTCCAAGTATTACTGTACCTGGAACCACACCATTAGTAGCAATGGCACTCATGGATATGGCCGTCAACATAGTCTGAACAAAGCAAAAGGAGAAAATATGAATAACAAGACACAGAACACCAACAACTAAGCTAATAATAACTAGAGAAATTGCATTTCCTGTGAAAATACAGTTCCAATGCTTATTGCTGAAGAACTTGCTAAAACAAACAGCTGAAATTAGCTAAATCATGCCGAAATGTAGCTGAACTGGAAGAAGGAGCCTAAGTTAGCAGAAGAAAGCAAACATATTTGCTGAATTAGGTTTAAGTAAGCAGAAATTAGCAACAAAGTTAGGAAATTAGCTAAAAAAGCTGAAATTATGAAGGAAAAATAGCTGAAAGTAGCTGAAAATGCAGAAAGAAGCTTAAACTATCAGAATGAAGCTAAGAGCTGAAATGAGTTTTAAAAATTCTGGAATTGGCTGAAAATATAACAAGCTGAAATTAGCATAAATAAGTTAATTAGGCTGAAAGTAGCAGAAATCACCACAAAAAGCTTGAATTTATCTGAAAACAGTTGAAACTAACTAAAAATGCTTAAAAAATGTTACTGAAAAGATATAACAAGCTTAAATTAGCAAAAGAAAGCAGAAAGAACACGTTTGACCAATTAGGCTGAAAGAAGCAGAAATTGGCCCAAAAAAGTGGAAATTATCTGAAAAAAGCTGAAATTTGCATGAAAACAGCTGAAAAGTACCTAAAAAGCAAAAAGAAACTGAAATTTTAGAATAATGAAGTGGAGAGCACATTTGTGCTGAATTAGGCTGAAAAAGGGTGAAATGAGTGCAACAAATGTGAAATTAACTGAAAAAGCTTAAATTAGCATAAAACAGCTAAATAGTAGTAGCTGAAAAATTATAAAATGCTGAAACTTGCAGAAATAAGCTGAACGGAGCATAACAAGCTGAAATTAGCAGAAATAAGTTAGAAGAAGCACACAAATGTTGTAGCTAACAGAACAAAGTTGAAGGGAGCAAAAAACAGCTGAAAAAAAATGGCTGAAGCTGAAAGTAGCTGAAACAAGTTTAAATTTGCACAAAGAAGCTGAAAGAACCTCAACCAGAACAAAATGTGAAAAGAGCAGTAAAAGGTTGTTAACAAATCTTGAATGAAGATCTGAAGGATGTAAAATTAGCACAATTATTATTCTTTGAGGGAAAAAAAGTGGCAGAAAAGGCTAAATATTTCAAAAATCTAAAGTTGCACAAATACCAAAAGTCACAGCAGAATTTTCCTGAAAAAGACGAAAGTTTTGATTTATTACTTGTTGAAATAGCTTAAAAACTGCGGGAAGAGAATCACGCTAAAAAATGTACGGAATAAAACTGTTTCATGAACATTCACACTATTAACATAATCTTATGTGTATAGCCTGGGAGTCTACTTTGTCTGAAGAAAACAATCTGTGAAGATTTATATTGCAAAAGAAAAGCTCACAATGATAGAGCTACAGTGTAGGCTGTGTGATAATGTGTTATCCCATTGACTATTTAAGCTATAAAAGCCAAAGCTCATTGATGCTTGAAGCAGCTAACGTAACATTGCATGTTTGTACTAACACAAGAGCAGCACATGATGACAATCAGGAGGGACTGCATGATGCCTGCCGTTCCCACGATCCACGTCAGTCGGAGGAAAAGGATGACTCCAAAGATGTTCTGGAGACACGGTAGGTAGACTCCCATCAGAGTGCCCATGTTGGGAGACTAACAGAGACACACAAAGAGGGACAAAGTGTATGGTAGAGTATTGAGCATGGCATTTCACGAAACAAGTGGAGTGATCGTTACTATTGACTGGTGTACTTTTTTTAAAGGTCATTCAATCATGTTGTCAGCACTTTGTATGTTTCCTGGCCTTACACGGGCACAGTCTCACTGCAGACTGCCCAATGTCAAACACAATCTATCAACAAGCCTTAATAACTCAGTATGAAGGAGGGCAGTGTAGTGTTTCTAAAACCTGAAACGACACATAACACAAACTAAGCTTTTCCAGCTGCTTACTTTGGGAGTCTTTCTACGTGAGGCCTCTGCACTCTCCTCCTCTTCATGCTCCTTGGCCCCCTGAGTGATGTTGGTGTAGCTGACCAAACGGCTGAGCAGAGAGGAAACCTTTGGCCGAATGTCCAGCTCTTCCTGGCAAGATAAGACCAGGTGATGGTGATTTTAGGTGGATGTTGCTGCGTTGTCTAATATTGTAAAGAGAAAATCACAGACCTCAAACAAAGCCAGGTTCCTGTCATAGAAGTCGCTCCTTTTACCACTGGCATCAGGACTGTTGAGAAAAGGGCTGTCCTCTTTGTGATTCCCATGTCCTGATAGACAAAAAAATACATTTTAGGATAAAATTGTGGGTTTTTTTTTTCCCCCTTTGGGAAGAAACTGGATGTTAAAGCAGTATTTAAAATCATAAAGTGTTTGTGCCTGTAAAAATAAAATTTCTGAGTTATTCTTAACAAAAAGTGTGCAGAACATTTACTTTGTATTTAACAGAGTGAAGGCAACAACAATTACCATAATAAGGTTTTCAAACATTGCAAAAAAGAAAGATACTAGTAAAAATACTTAAAAGGCCAGTATTTGAAAGCACAAGATTAAAATAACACCCACCCTATCAGTTTTGCATTGGACAAACCTTAAAACCATTAACA